TTTTTCCATCTCCCTCCCACTCCAATACAAATATACATACGCATATATGCATGTATGTATGTACATCCCTAGCATTCTGATTCCGATTTACATGTGAAGTGTGGACTGTGTGGAACTATAACATTTTTTTCTTTTTAATGCTGAGTGGATTTGGTGTTTCATTTTTTTTTTGTTTTTGGCAATCTCATTGGGTTAGTGGGTATCTACGGGTGTTACCACCTTTCAGCATCATTCACATACACATACACACATACATATTAGTCAGCACCCGGCCGGCGTTTCGATTCAGTTTTGCATATTTATCACAGAATGTGTTGCAATTAGTTTTGGTCTTTGCACTTCAATTGAATTCGAATTTCAATGGCGCACTCATGGAGGTAGAGTAATTAGTTCCCCAATCTCAATAATGGAATGCACAAAGAGGCCCCTACATAGAATGCGAGTTTTAAATTATTGCCACAAAAAGTAAGCTTGACTATTTTCAGTTTCCGTTTCTTTTCACCAAAATGAATTTCCAAATATTTCATGAACGGCAGTTATTTCGGCAAGTACTTTTAAAAGACGATCTATTAGTCTAACGTTTAAAAAATATACAATCTTTGCCTGATTTATTTGTTTATCCCTCGCTGAGCGGAGGGAAATTATTGTAAAATATAAACTACTTCAGCCTGTAAACAAAAAGAGTCCTTTTTTTATCCCATAAAAAATCATATATACCCGATGAACATAAGCGGTGACACGCCCAGTTCTATACCAAGCTGTAATGTTTTTCGTTTTATAGCGTTTATACGCGATAGACATAACTTAGCTCATGCCAAAACACTCACCTGGCTGAAGAGTTGGCATCTTTAGGTCTGCTTGTTAACGGAGCCTATTTAAAAATTCGTTCCATCTACCAACACATGGGCTCGATGATGAACGGACCTTGGTCAGCTGTTGGACTGGTTGAAGGAGCGAAAGTGGTTCTCGGACCGTGCGCAATTCCAGTGAAAACTGTTTACAGAAATAAATTATCGGCTATTCAGCAAATCCTTCGGCGGCGTGTGTGTGTGTGAGTTAGGATTGGTTTGCATGAATAGCGAGGGATATTGTTAGGTGCCGATAGACGGCAGCACATGACGTCATGCTCAATGGATCAGAGCCAAGCCATAATTGGCTACAGATGCTGGTCGAAGGCAATTTTCTAATAATAACGTGTAGACCTTAACAATTCCGTTCCATCTCGTCTCGTCTCGTCTCGTGCTGAATGTGGGCGCCGTCTCTGCGAAATGGCAGTCAGCAGCTATATAGCCCATCGGATCAGGCGGCAACGGCTGTTTGATAAGGGCTCGTGGTCTGCGACCTGGCGGGGTGTATTGCCAGCCATCCAGCGTCTCATGGTCCATGGTCAAGAGCAGTTATAAATGGTGAGTGTATCGCTGGCATTTAACGGCACCCTTGCGTGTGTTAATCAACTGAACACCCACACAACGTGCACATCGAACCCACGCCCCCATCCCTCTGCCCCTGTCCACTATCCAGCTAGTGTGTGGCATTACTTGGCATTACGCCCCCTTCCAGCTGCCCATGCAGCGCCGGCTAGTTTAGCCATAGTGAAAAACCTTGTAACACTTTTCGACTCAACTTCCAGCTCCGTCGAATTATTTCGGAATTGTTAGTTGGCTTATTTTTAGCTGTTGAGCATCTGACGCGTCTAAAAATGGCTACCCACACCCTAGACCAAATCCAGCCCAACCCTACACAACCCCAACCACAATCCAGACTCAATATATTCAATATGGCGTGCGCTCTGTGGATTTTTTTTGTGCACTTTATTGTAGTTGTCGTCGCAGTTGTTGTTGTTGTTTGTAGTTCCGGGGGTGGTTCTGACTGTAAATACCTATTTTATGTTCAGCCCTGTGGGAGATTTTTTTCGTGGCATTAATAATACTTTCATGTTTACCATTGTGTGCTGGCTGCGGTTCTTATGTAGATTGTAGGATAAGCCGGACGATATATCGTGTATATAAATATAAATTTATATATATTTGCTTAAAGGGTAACAACAAAATGGAGGCATTTTAGTTCAAAGTTCATAAAAGAAGAGACGGTCACTTTGCACTAAAAAACTCTTCGTTAGTTCTCTAAAAACTTCATTAAAATAAAATATTTTTCTTATCAAATATTATCATGGGAACTCTGTGAGAGAAATAGTCGATTTCATTAGCATATATCTGAAAAGATTTCATAAATTATTGTATATATATCTTAAAATACTTATTTTTATTAATTATATTAAATAATTCCTTTATGATATAATGAAAATGAAAACAAATATATATATATTTCACATAAGTGAACATCAAATTCTGTCTTTAATCTCTGTCTTTAGAACTTAGAGGAAGCTCAAGATGCACAAGCGAATTCACGGAAATGGAAATCGTATTTGATTTTGACTTGAGCTCGTGCTCTAGGATCATATATTTATGTATATGGACTAATGGCCTGAGAAAGAGGAACAGTTCTATATCAACACGACTTATACATCTAATTAGGAATCTACATATATATTATATGGACTTGAGTACACAATACTATAACTGTAATATTATCCCTCCCACTATTACTAGATGACTTCATGTATAATAAATAAAAGACCATTTCTAGATATGATATTGAAACTATGAAATGAACATTTAAGAACATTATATTGATGTTGTTTTTTCTAGATTATGAAAAAAATGCTTTAGCCTAAAAGACATTTTGATTTACAAAACCTTTCGCTACAAAAAACGCACACAAATTTTGTAGCTAAAGGTGCAAAATGAGCAACAGCTGCTAGAGGAGAAGAGGGAATTGCAGCAAATACAATAGAAACCGGAAAAATGGCGCATGCGCAACATCTCAAACCGAAAATTACACCTTTTAAATGGTCAGTCAGTCAGTCAACGACCATTCGAGACTGTGGGGTATCCTCAGTGACCCCGGCTAGTTTCACTTAAAAGAGATTCGTCTTTCTATTATGCTCCGAGTTTTTTGTCTGCGAATCGAACAATGGCCAGAGGGATGGGAACAATACCACAAGCCGAGATAAGAGCTGGCAAACAAGACTAGGGATAGACCGAGCATCGTTAGGCAGCAGATTGAGGTTAAGATTCTGTGCGGCAGATAAACATCTTAGAGCTGCGCTTGCGCTTGCCACAAGCCAAAGCCAAAGTAGAGAGCCGACTGTCCAGTGGGTTATTAGCAAATTACGTGCGCTCAAATGGACAAGAATCTGTAAATGTTCGATTAAAGGGATATGCAAAATCTTATTTCAGATTAGATCTTTGGGTTGTTGACTAAATATCAGCTGGACCACCATCAAATATTTACATGAACTTACAGGCAATATTTTCTAAACTCTATTCTAGGCGGGGCCCCATTTCGAATTTAATTTCTATCGACTCATAAATATCAATTATTGCATTGTGGGTGCACAGTTTTAATGAGGGAAAAACGGAAAATTAAAAATATTGAAAACTATCTAATGAACAAATATTCGAGCTATGTCGTGTCTATTCCACACTCAAATCACTTGCAGCCAATCAGAAGCCAGCTGGAAAAACTATTTATAAAACGCCCAAAAATGCGCCAAGGGATCGAGGGAAAGGAAAACCAATTTCAACTCAAGAGCACGCGCCATTTGTAGGCAAAGCGTGTGCGACGCATGCGCAGCTCCGAGTGAACTCCCCAAGCGATCCTCGCGATCGTCGCCAGATCCCTTGAAAGGCGTTGCCCATGAGCGTGTGCTCATGAGCGTTTCATTATTATTATATAATTTCCCCCCTCTCAGCTCATATGCCATGCGAATTGTGCGTTTTCACGCAAAATGCTAGACAATAATCGATCAAGGGAAGTTCTTAAGAATGGACGATCCTCACAGCTATTTCTCTCGCCAGGCCAATTTGCTCGGGTCACCCGCACAGTTTTTTCACTTAATAGCCCGAGCATTTAGCCCATGATGGAGCAGTTTTTCAATTAACTGTTACACCACATTGTGTGGTTCTCATGTAGACGAAAATTTCCATAAATCATCTTCCGGAAAAGGCCGCTGACATCTGGCATCGATCATGAAACTATAGAATCTTATATATGAATTTCTTTATATCGCATATTATTCTTTATTCAATATTACATAAAAACATTTGGGAAACTCTATTTATTTATTTGTATTTTACTATACAGGTGTTTCTTCACACTGGGATTGTATATTACAAGGTCATTGAAATATTCTGACCTTGATTTACATTTACAGCTAGAAACTAATTAAACTTGAATTTTGATCCATTTGCTCAGATTGCGCATATTTTGTAAATATTTGTTTATACAATACGAGTACACTTAATATATCTATGTTTATTCAATTTAAAAATCGTGGGCATTTACACATTTTTGTTGAAAATTTCGAGTTGTAAAATCTCTAGATTTGTACTTCTTTTTGATCGATATCAAAAATATTGTCATTATGCCGAATGAGTTAAAGGAATAAATAATAAAGAAAATCATAAAAATTTTAAATTATTCTTGAAAAAATGTTCGTTTATTGTGGCTTGACTTAAGACTGGAATTAGGCTAACAAAATACTGCAATATAAATGAAAAGAGAGCATTCGCTTATTTTTCTTTTTTTTTTTTAAGACTAAACATTTATTATGTAAAGAAAATATAATAGTTATACACTAATCGCTGCTGTGTAACTGTGACTTTGGACTGATTGCTTACGAATTAAGTTAAGTTAATGTCGACTTAAACTAGGAATTTTTAAACCTTTTCACGGTTTTTGTTCGGTTTGTGACGTTAGTTTTTGTTTTAGTTTTAGTTTTGGTTTGAGTTTGCTTTCGTTCGCTGGAAACTGAAAACTGAAAGCTGAAAGGATGCAGAGAGTAGAGAGAGGCTAGCAGAGAGTGGGGATAGTTACTACATGGTTGCATTAGATCTACAGTTAGAGCTAGATACGAATCTGTGGGCTTAGGTCTAGAGTTAGTTGATAGCGTTTTGGCGCATTTTTGGCTTATGTACAATTCTCGACAACAAAATGAAAACTTAAATTACGAATATATACAATTTTGGACAACGAAATATGTTAATAATAATAAAAATATCTAATAACAATATTGTGGGCCGCCGGCGCTGAGTGGCTCTTAGGAGTGCGCATTACGGGCCATGTGCACGAAGAGGCCGACGGGTCCGTCGCACTTCTCGCCGCACATGTTGCACTTGAAGACGTCGTCGCAGCTGTGATACCCCATGTGGATTGTGTAGAGCACAGCGTCCTTGAAGTAAATATCACAATACTTGCACTCGTATATGGCCGGAGCGCTGCTGCCCGTGGATGTGGCTGTGGATGAGCTCGATACGGTGGCGGAGGTGGCAACGACGGCAGCTGGAGGGGCATTGCTGCTGCTGCTGGCATTCGAGCTATTGCCGGAGCTGGAGGCCGTTGAGCTGGCGCTCGTGTTGGCCTGCGGCACACGGCCCGTTTCCATGGACTCATCCGCGGAGCTGGCACCAGAGCAGGGATCATCCGCCAGCTGCTTGTTAGCGCTGCTGCCGGCAATGGGCGACGAGGCCGTGGGCAGAACACTGGGCGGCAGTTTCAGTTGCTGTTCCGGCGATGACATCGCCGCCGATTTCAGCTGCAGCAGCGTGTCCAGCTTGAGGACACGACCCTTGCGGCGRGAGGTGCTGCTGCTGCTGATCAGAGGTGTGTCATCGTCTTTCAGCTTCAGGTTAATGGCCATGTGGTTGCTGTGGGGCTGAGGCTCCTCCTTGACCGGAGTGCCTTGTGACAGATCCATGGCTGAGTCTACGGATTTGCGCTCGAAATCATCGTCATGCTCATCCTCCTCGTTGTCGCTATGCGGAGGCAATTGCTGCTGTTGCTGCTGCTGCTGTTGCTGCTGTTGGTGTTGTTGCTGTTGCTGTTGCTGCAACTGATCACGCATGCGGGGCGACAACTGTGCCAGAACCGCAGCCTGCTGCTGGGCAGCGAGCATCTGCAGATTGAGATTCCAGTAGGGGAAGAAGGCCATGTTGCGGTTCTGCTGAAGCAGGCTGGCCAATGGCGGCAGCAACGCGCTGGACAGGCTGGGCGCCTGCTCAACGCTGGCCACGCTCTTGGCCGGCGACGGTGGGGAGACGGGAGCCACAGCTGCTGGTGCTGATGTTGTGGCTGCTGCGGCTGCAGATGGGATGGGAAATCCTTGGAGCGCGGCGGATAGCTGAGAGGTTGCGCTTGGTGGCAGCACAGGCTGTTGCTGTTGCTGTTGCTGCTGCTGCTGTTGTGGCTGGGGCTGCAGTTGTTGCTGCTGGTGCTGCTGCTGCTGTTGCTGGGAGGCAGCTGATGCAGCACTGCTCCGCTTGCTAGAGCCGCCACAGCTGGAGCTGCTGCCCGAGAAGGACTTGCTCTTGGGTCCGCGCCGTGTGCCATAGACATCGATGACCAGGGAGGGATTGGGCGTGCCATCCTCGTCCAGCACCATGCCGGGCTTGTGGCCATACTTGCGCAGATGCAGCTTGAAGCTGTGACAGTATTTGGTGGCATAGTCGCAGTCGGCACAGCGATACTGATAGACGGAGCTGTGCGACTTCCGGTGGGAGTTCAGCATGGACTTGTTCACGCAGGTGTAGCTGCACTTGTCGCACTGGAACGGCTTTTGGTTCTTGTGCTTGCGAATGTGGTACTCCAGATGATGCTTGAATTCCGTCACAAAGGGGCACTTGGCGCACTGCAGAATCTTGTCGGGCTTCATGTGGGTGCGCGTATGCGCCCAGAAGTCCACCTTGGTGATGGCCACGACGCCGCACGTCTTGCACTTGTAGTTCTTCATCTTGCCGTGCGAGTTGTAGATGGGCATGCGTATGTTGCTGTCGTCGTCCTCGGACTCGGCCATGTACTTCATGTCCTCGCTCGAGTTCGACATCAGATCGTGCTCCTTCTCGGGCTCCACGCTCGATTGCTGCGACTTGGCCGGCGACTTGGGCGGTGTCACGTCCATTGGCGGCGTCAGCGCCTGCAGCTTGTCGCCGGTCTGTATGACCGTTGCCACCGCTGTGGGCACGGCTGTGGGCGTGGGCTGTGGACTGGGGCGCATGCTGCTGGCATAGTAGTGCTGCATGGGATTGGGCAGACCCGGCGGCGTCAGCGGATTGAAGCCGCCCAGTGTGAGATGATGATGCTGCTGCTGCTGCTGCTGCGCTGCCTGAAAGTGTTGCTGGTATTGCTGCTGCTGCAACAATTGCTGCTGGAGTGTGCTATCAAAATGTTGTAGGCTGTTCTGATCATTGTTGCTCGGTGACGGCGTCATGGCAGCCGCACACATCGTATCCATTGGCTGCTGATGCTGCTGCTGTTGCTGGTGCTGTTGCTGCTGTTGCTTGAGGTATTGTTCCAGCTGAGTGCCAGGTGCATTGGGTGAGGGCAGTGGCGATTGCCTTGGGCTGCTCGCTCCGCTGTTGCTGTTGCTGTTGCTGCCATTGTCGTGATGGTGACTGTGGTGATGCGACATCGGCTCCTGCTTGATGTTGGCGGCAAACATGCTGCTGTACCAGGCATTGTGCTGCTCGTAGTTAGGCGCCGCGGTGCTCGTCTCCCAGTTAGGCATGTTGCTGGTTACGGCTGCAATGGAAGGAACAAAGAGCACACGGTTAAGATTGTAATTTGAATGTAGGTGGTCAGTGCGCCTGCGTCGAGTTTTTTATGCTTTTTGTCTCAATTCCTTTTTTTCTTGTTCTTGTTTTTTGTTTGCTTTTTTTTCCAAGTGTTTTTATTTTTGCCACCCCTAAGCCAAGCGTGCCACCCTGCTGCTAGGAGAGAGCGTGTAGCGGGGTGGCAATTTGAGTGAGTTTTGCAGAGGACAAAATGGCTGGTGAGGCGGACGCGTATGGGGTACGGGATATCCTTGGGTAATTGGTCTCACCTAGCGCTGCTCGTGCGACGGTTATTCGTGTTATATATTCCAATTATTGCGATTGTGATTGTGCTGCAGTTGATCTGGAGCGGATGCTGTGTGTCTGGTCGCTGGACGAGCGAATTTGTGACTGACTGTCGGATTGCAAATGGTCGTTGCTTATATTTGGGCCAGGTAGGCGACACACGCGTCAAGGGATTAGATGGGAAAAAGGTGAGCGAAAGTCAGGTATCGGGTCGCGCGGTCGCGGAGTCGCGAGTCGCGCACTCACCTCAGCTTCTTGATCCATTCAAACTGGATTAGAGCGGCAACAAAAACAAAAGCGGAAAAATGCAAACACGAGAAAAAAGAAGAAAATTACGCGCATTGGATTTGGATGATCCGGGCCGCGAAACTTAAGCTATGCAGATTAGAACACAAAACGCAACGAGTTTTCCCCTCGCACACGGCACGCAGTGGATTAAAGTTAATCAGCGCGAGCAGCCAGGAGCGAGCATCGAGGATTGGATTAGAAGGCGCAGCCTGCGACGACGAATTTCACGTTTAATAATAAAAAGCAAAAGGATTTAAGTTAATTGTCGGCACTACGCGGTATATGGTTGAGTAACTGTATATCTAACTGAATATAGCTAGGCATATATAGAGAATATATATTTGCATAAATCTGAACAGTCCACAGCTGGCGAATTTGTCAGCTTGGGCGATTATCATTATTAAACGGTGCATTTTAGTTTGGAATTTGTTATCATAGAAAGCACATAAATTTCTTTTTAATAGCAATTAAATTATTGTCATTTTTGCAAGTTTATTTTAATGAGATATTTTTGAAAAGCTGCACACGAAATTTCATTATATTTCGTTAAATTTCTATAAAAAGTTCGACAAAGCGATCATAGAACGCAAATAGAATCCCAAAAGCCAATGCCAGAGAAAAAAATTAAATCGAAATAAAAATCAACATTTGTATACAATGGGTATTATACGGATTCTACGAATTCAACTCAATGCAATTCTCTTTTTGCAATAAAAAAAACTTAAAAACTTATTATGAAATCGGAGATAAAAAGTATGGCGAGAATAGCGAAAATCTTATATATATTAACAAATTCGTTTGTAAATCTGTTAACTTTATAAATACTCTAATCTAAAAATTGTCTTATTTATTTTTAACAATTTTTTAAATTTCAGTTTAATTAGTAATTAAACAGCTCACAAAATATTGTACATAAATTTTATAATATACATTCTCAGAATTTCTATTTATTCAAAACTTTTTCCAACTAATATGAAGAAGCCTTTTAATAATTCCAAATACATATATATATATATACAACAAATAAATTTATTTTTATGGAATCATAGAAATTGATATTTAATAACCCAGTGAAATTGGTATATGAATATCAAATATTTCATAGCAGAATTATTTTTTTTTTTTTTGCTTTCAAATGCTTGGTTAAGAGCTCTCTATTTTTGCTTCTATTTTTTGTTGTTTTTGTTATTTTTGTTTTAGTCTTTACTTTGATTTGCGTAGTTTTGAAATATACCCAATAAATTTTCTATATATTTTTTGGTTTTCTTTTTTGTTGTTTGCATTTTTCCTATTGCAATTTCACTGCAGTTGCCGCATTTTTGGCCAATTGTTTGTGCTTTTAAGTAAATATTATTAAAAACGCAAAACGTCAGCAGCAGTCGGCTCTTGGTAATGGCAACGCAGCAGGGGCGGCGGTGGGTGATGACATGGTAATTGGGATTGGAGAGTGCGGATCGAGCTGGTTGCTAAAATATCTACAATACTTATGCATAATTGATGGTACAGGAAATTTGGCGCTGCAAAAGTTCTCTAGCAAAACAACAAAAGCAATACATATATACAAATACATATATATATATATTGTATAATGTGCTTAGCATATTTATTTAATTTAGCTAGTGATATTTTTAAGAACCCAAATTAATTGGCTTGTCAGTGTAACAGAAACAAAGAGGGAGAGAGACAGAGACAGAGAGAGGGAGAGAGAGGGCAAGGGGAGAGTGAAAAGCTTACGGTTTGTCTACTTTTTTGCACATGCAACAACAACAACAACAAAAGGAACAACAATAACAAAGGCAAAAACTAAAGGCCAAGTGTAAAATTAATATTACGCCGGCTACATGCCATGCAGGAGCATCAGCAGGAGCGGGCCAAGAGCGGGCCACGAGCAGGAGGCTTACAAGGGGTGGCGGGGTGCTGGGCAACGAGTGCGAAATGCAACGCAACCGAAACTGCAAAGTAAAGTAAACATGTGCTAGTCGTTTGGCCAACCCCCCTGCCCCAGCCTCCTGCCGCTTGCCTCCTGGTCCCGCCTTTGCATCCCCGTCGCCCCACACACAACACAGTCGCTCCGCACACGAACCACAACCACAGCCACCGCCCCCTTTGGAAAAATATCATGAAAATGGCAAAAATGGAAAATTCAGACGCAGAAAATGCGCCACAAAAAATGTTTTTGTTGTAAATGTGTAACGGCAGGCGATGGGCCAGAGGGAGGGAGCAGGCAACGGGGCCAAACTGCAGCGTTTGTCGATGAATGTGCATTATAAAAAATTATTTATATATTTAGTTGTTTAGTTGTTGTTGCGAAAGGCAATTTTAATTATGCATGAGTAAATAGATGTTTATCGCGCGCGTTTTAAGCAGAGAAACTGCATGGAAAATAGTCGAGGAAACGTCTTTTCAATGCCAAACGTAAATTGTCAGATGCAAAAAATTGATCATCTATTCGGTTCCTCGCTGTTCTATTGTCAGCAAACATTAAAAATATGCCAAAGCAGCTGACAATCATTTTTGCAAATAGTTGCCAAGAAAAGAACAATGAAAAGAATAATAAAAATAAATAAATATAAAATAGTTAAAAAGAAAACACAAAGAAAATATTTCTTTCAGTTTTCATTCGTGCAGTGAGAACTATTTTGCAATGCACTTTTGGCAGGCTCAAACAAAATGGACATTAAAAAATTGCACCGTTGACTTTGAATTATAGTTGAGTGTCTAAAATTAAATATTAAAAATAAAAAAATAAAAAATGAGAAAAGGCGAATATCAAAAGAAATTGCTAAAAAGCCAGAGGACGGCGCGAAAGAAAGGCGGGCAAAAAATACAACATGCAGTCGGACATGTAAACAAATAAAATTAGCTGCCAGGCAACGAATGAGCGAACAGGGGGCAATGCTGCGCTGGCCGGGGAACGCCGGGTAGTGTCGGGGTGTGTGTGTGGGGGGGGGGGGGGGGGGGGGGGGCACCCCGTGGGGCGGTGGGGCGCTGATGGGGTGAGGCCTGGCAAACTGCACGGGCAAAAAACAAGTTCGCCAGATCGGCTAAAAGCCAGACAGATTTTGAAATATTGTTTTAGAATTTTTGCTGTTGCATTTTTAGCAAGCGATATGTAAGCAAATGTATGTGTGTGTGTGTGTGTGTGTGTGTGTGAGTGTGGCTGTGGCTGTGTGTGAATGTGTCTGTGCGTGTGTGTTTGTCTTTAAGGTTAGACACAAAAAGAAGCGTTCGACATCGACAGAAACTACCAAGTGAAGAAAGTATTCAAAGACAAATAGAGTTTTATTACTAAGGGTATTCCCTTATATCGTATACTAAATAATAATTAAAAGCTTAGCAAAACTAAAGCCAAAAGCATGTTTCTTTTATGTCTTTAAAGTAAGCTTCGTTCAAAAATATGACAAACCCATATGAAACATTTAATTTCGCTAATTTTCTCCTTAAAGAGGTTTATGTGGAGTCTAAAAATAAATCTGAAAAAGTGATGTAAAACAAGATTATTTTACCCTAATTTCCTATTTTCAATATATATAATATATATTAAATATAATAAAAAGCAAGCTACACGTTTTAACTCCAAATCCAAAGCTAAAACAATTGGAATATTTAAACATACAAATTTAATTTAACATTCGCATCATTTTTATTCCCTTAGTATGCCCATCAAATTTGTTAAATCGAGCTTTATGTTAATCTGAATGCCTCAACATTTTGCGATTTGTGCTATTCCCTAGAAATACTATGCACTATTTAAAGACGTTCCATTGTTTTTGTTTATTTCTCTAATCGCTGCACCGTTGCGGTGCGGAGTGCACTTAGCTCTCTAACTGTAAACCTATTACTATTGCTCTTGATTTATGTGCTGCTTTACCGCCTGCTGAGAACGCCAAATTTTGAAGGTTAACTGAGAGATAATAATAATAGTGGAAAGTGATATTTACATACCTTGGGCGACTGTGGGCAAATCTCAAAAAGTTTTTTGGTCCGAAACGGGAATCGGGAACAGGAGCAGCGGCTGCTGCTTCTGCTTCTGCTTCTTCTGCTGGTGCTGCTGGCGTGCAAGCTCTCGCGCTCTCTACACTTGACCGCGGCACCGTTAAATCAAACAAAACGGCGATAAAAGTGCGTGCGAAACAAAAACCGCGCACAGCACACAGGCGCACGTTCACACACACACACACGCACACGGAGTCGTAGGAGTGTTGGTGTGTGGTGGCTGCTCCTTTTTGGTCGTTTTTATCTCTTTTTTTGGTCTTTGCTTTTTAGCTTTTTTGTGCGAAGTTCGCGCATGTGCGAAAAAAAACTCTTCTGAAGGCTGGCCAATAATTTGTAAATTGTTTACGAGTGTTTAATATTTGTTTGCGGCTAGACTTAACACAATCACTGGCAGTTGATTTACTATGTAGTTTTTTATAGTGTTTTTGTTGTTGTTTTTTTTTTTTTTGGGGGTTTTTTATTTAGAGCTACTGTGTTTTCGGTTTCGCTTTCGTTTTAGTTGAGACACTCGTCGTCCTTTTTGAGATTGCTGATGGTTGCTCCAGAGCGACGTTCGGCTTATGCGAGGCACTGAGCACGACTGACACGGATTCCTGCTCAACTAGCACTAGTCATAGCTGAAAATCTCCGCATAGTGCAGAGCTCTGGTCCAAAAGCCACTCAAATGCAAAAGAAACAAATGTCAAAAATGCACGAACAAAACCAAAAACACACACACAAAATACTCACACACCAACACAACACAATCAAACAGAAACAGAACCACACTCACACAAACGCACACGCACAGCGGGTCGTGCTGAGAGCCAGAGAGCGGAATATGCTCGAATGAGCGAACTCAATTACAACGGTACAAGCAAAAACGCACTCAAAACGGCTGCTGGCTGTAACAGACTCAATGGCTCTGAGTGCTGTCCGCCCCGTCCCCATAAACGGCGTGCATTGACTGGTCGCTGCCTCCCCAAGTGCTCTCTCTGTCTCTCACCGTCTCTGTTTCTCTCTCATCCTGCCCCGCCCGCTGTCCCTCTCGCGCTGCCTCACCGAATGCTTCTTCAGCGAGCGCACTCTCTTCGTCCTGATGCACGCGTCTAATACGCATCCTTTGGCTACGCGCTGCATTTTGCTGCAGTTCGTAATTGCAGCTGTCGTTTATTTTGGCAAATTTCGCTTCACTATTGATTATTGATTTTCGGTCATTTTCGTCGGCCTTTGACCGCTGGTACATAGAGCTCCATGGAGCTCTCATCCCCTGCACACGTAGGTGGGGGCGGTCGGCTGCTCGGTGTCCAACTTAAAGCCAACTAAACAATGCTGATAGAAAGTAACATGCAAGCAATAATAAAGCATGTTATGGAGCTTGTTGAGGCGACGCATCAAGTGTTGTACTTTCGCTTTCAAAGGACAGCTAGAAGCTTGTGCGCCATTGAAACTGAGATGATTGAGAGGAAATTAGAAAATGAGATAATTTGAATCATGGAATCATCTTATAAAAAATTGATTTAAATATATTTAGTTTGACTTGCAACGAAATCTAGAGCAAATTGAAAAATACATCGATACGGGAGGTGTACTATATTTAGGGCATTCCTCTTTAATTCTTTCAATTGCATAAATTCAATATAGAACAATTTTAATAAACAAATTTCATGCGAGCGCTGTAAATGACATTTGCAATTTGTTGGCAATATTTATAAAACAAACGATGTTCGAAAACGCAAACAAAGCGCGAACAGTATGCAAATACATATGCGCAGCACACGCGCAGGACATGGCAGGATGCTCGCTGCGAGGCAGTGGCTGAACAGGTAGTTCGAGCAGAAGCAGGAGACGTCGCAGGGGCACTGCAGGCAGGTCTCGCATCATTGACGCTGTCAACCGGATTAGAAGTGCAACCGGACTTTGTACGCGGATTTGCGAGCACTGAAGAAAGGATTAAAGGTGCTGCTACCTGGACCGACCGCTGCGTTCATTAATCCCGCGATCTGCAAGCGAACCGCGGCTGCCGGGAAACTAGAGCAGCAGCGACAGCAGTGGTTCAGAGCCAGAGATTTAAAAGTGATTTAAAAGTTGCAGTGGGCGACTGCATAATCCAACATTACGCACCGTGTTGCAGGATCAGGATCAGTGACTTTGATCCTGATCCGAGTGCTGATCATGTGATTAGCGCTGCTTAAGGCGGGCGCGGGCGGGTGTGTGGAGCCGCTGATCCGCAAGTTATGTAAAGTTGTCGCAAAGCCAAAACAAACGTTCCTTAAGCCGCACTCCTCAGTCTTAGTCCTTATCGCTTAGACGGCAAGTTCGCACATGTTCAGCGGCAGCGCGTCACGCTTGACCTTTTAATTGATGATCGTGATAATAACTGTCATCTAATTTGGCCCGAGCACTAAGTTCAAGTTCTCTATGAAAATGATACGCTGGCTTGGCCTCAACCATTGTTCACCCAATGTCAACAGACATCCTTGAGATTGAGTCTTAACATCCTTAGTCCCGCTTTGTTCTTCAGTGGCTGCGATGGTGGTGGCTCGGGATCAAGATCTCATATGCAAATGCGAATCTTGCGGTTGGCTGAATTTCCATTGATGTGCCCATGCCCAGAGTTCCACACCCCAAAACGCTTATTTCAGACCTCATTAGTTTTGTTTGCATTTGGCGCACTTTTCAGCCGACCTCATCGAACAGTTCCTTGAGTTTTTAAGCTGATTTCATGCCATGGATGATGTGGCATTTTCTTTTGGATTTCTTTTTCTCTCTGTCTTTCGGGTTTGCCTGTCTGTATGTGGTTTCTTTTTATGCCCTTTAATCATAATTAGTTTTTGAGTTTTGTATATTTTTTTTTCTCCAAGTGCTACTGGACAAGCTAATTGAGATGCGATTGCTTAGTTGTGCAGGATATATAGAGAATACCCATGAAATGCTGATTGAATGATCTAAAAGAAGTATAATTGTATAAATAAAGTATATCGCTAACTATAAGGAACCCATGTCCTGAGTCATAACTCTTCTTTTAACATGACTTTTGATATATTGAGTTTCATTTAAGGAAGAAATATACTTTAAAATTGTGCCCATTCCTTGCCTAAATAGAAACATATTCTAAGCTAAGCCAGAGTCAGAATGTTTACATTGTAAGTGTCTGAAAATTGCATCGAAATAAATCAAATGGCAAAGTGCTCGCCAGAGATACGCCCACTTGGGTGAGAGGTGCGTCGTTGGATTCGCAGAAATGTTATGCTAAACAGCGGGCACGGACGACACATCCGTAAATCCTTTTTTAGCATGAAAAACCGAAGGATTAAAAAAGGAAACTAGAGCAACAGCGACCCAGATAGAAACAAACCCGACAACACAAACAGAAACTGAAACTGAACCAGAAACAGATAGAAAAACACGAGCATGGCGAAATAGTTGCTCTAATTTTGATTGTTTGTCCTAATGGCTACGCCGTAAAAGTAGCTGAAAAGCAACAAAAGCGTGAAGGACAACGCGAACATTGGTGCAGGACAATTGCCCGTTTCGGTGGCTTGGTGGCCGGGTCCGTGCTGTGTTTATGATTCCCACATCTCAGCAGTTAGATGATGCTTTCACATATTTTGCATGCACCCAGGCATGTCGTACCAGGTAATCAGCTACGGCCAATGGCTTAACAATGAAACTCACTGGAAAATCACGAGAAAGTTCCTCCGGACGGGCAGGCGTAGACGCCTCGAAATAAGTACAACTCGAGCATCTACTGCACTGAAGGCTCATTAGACTGCTCTAGTTATGATTGTCCAAGGACTCGGCGGCACCGCGGCGACTGTGAGCGACAGAGATGGTGCGAGGCAAAAAAGGCCGTGATCGTACTTCCGCGTAATGTTGTTTTTTAGAGCCGTGCAAAAACCATAAAACATTTAGTTTTTTATGGCCAGGACAAAGCAGGTAGTCCGATCTGATCCCAGGACTCTGGCTGTTTTGCGGATGCGGCTGCTGTTTTTTGTCCCTTAACCCTTTCACCATTAACAAAAAGATCTTACCAACTCTCTTGCTTTCTCTTTCCCTCCGTGTCCTTGCCAAATTCCTGCGAAACTGCCTACGCTATATATTTGTGTGTGTGTGTGTGTTTTTTTTTGTTTCTAGCTAATGCCGCTCGCTTTGTGTTCTTTATGATGCATCGGTTGTGTTTTTTATGACACCCATTGTTCCTCAACTCGCAGGGCGAAAGACTCGCACTTCCTTAACCCTTTGGCGAAAGTTCTTGGCCTGTTTGCCCGAACGGGTTAAATGCAAGTCTGTGCATTTTTTATGAGCGCTTTCAAACACTGTCCACTTCCACGAATTCAGTATCCGCTCATTAGCCATTCCAAAGGGTTAAGTTCGATGGGTTTCATTTTATGATTGCCCTAAAAATACTCGACAAATGAAATTGCAATGTATTTACGATTGACAGAGCTGGACAATCGTTTGCCCGAGAAAACTTGTTCACTAGACTATAATAAAAAAAATTGGAAAATATTGTTTTTTAATATTTATCATTTTTATTTAAATATTTAAATAATTTTTTACAATTTTTGTTATTTGCAAAATATTTATTAAAATATATTTCAAATTACGTTCTTTAAATGGTATGCAGAAAATTTAAATACTTGATATTGAATATTTTGTCCAAAATTTTTTCATATATTATATAAAAATAATAGATCGTTTAAACAGCTTTTTTAAGTTAAAATAATTTATTTATAAATAAAAGAAATATTAATGATACCATTGCGAATTACTTTTTGTTGTTGTTTTGTTTATTAGAGCTTAAGATAAATATAAAATTAAGACTAACTTATGAATTAGGTCCTGGCAAAATAGGTAACTATTTTTTGTTCTTAAGAGAAAAAGAAACCTGAACAGAATTTTATAATGAATAATAAGCAAAATAAATCTAATTGACATAAATGGGAAAAGAATATTAGGTCGGTCATTATAGGATCTGAAGTTTCTCGTTTTCTACATTTTATAAACAATCACAGAAATTATTAAATATTAAAAGAACTACTTTATTTTTTTTTTTTAAGAAAGCAAGAATAATAAATGAAATCTTATATATGTTGCTTATAGTTATAAATGCTTATATCATTTTATATACATATGTATATAGCCATATATTATATAATATTAAAAAAAAATTCAAGTCTTTAAATCTTACAAAGGTCCGTTACATTATCGTTGTGATACCACAAATCATTTTACTTCCGGATTGACGCAACTGCCTGACTCCCTATTCGAGTGACCATTGGGTTACATTTGTAATGCGTCTGTAATGAATACCACTAAGTCCGCCTTGAATGTCGCTGCTGGCGCATTAGAATCCAAATGCATTTCAACAATGGGCAGCACAATTGTGGACTGATTTCGAGTCCGTTGTGCTAAATCCCGAGCTTAGACAATTGGCAATTTGAAATAAGCGCCAAAATGTGCTGAATCTCACCCCGAGTATATCCTCAAATTCTGACCATCACCATCTAATCAGGCCGGCCGGGCAGTTACACATTTTCACACTTTCGTGAACCCTGCGGTGCAGCGACGCCAACACAGAGCCAAAAGCGGATCGAGCTAGAGCTAGACCTAGAGCGAGAGCGAGAGCGGTGCCAGGGGTTGGGCAACGG